TATTAGTAATACAACATTCCAAATATACATTTCCATTTAAATTTCAAATTGAGTCTATATAAGCAGATCGGCGATTCTAATTTAATTCTGGTCAAGTGCTATTTGTACTACGGTTTTGGTGATACCGTTTACCACGCTATTACGGATTAATCTATTTAAGTGTTTAACTTAAAGTAAAATAACTTTCATCTCGAATAACTCCTAAATTTTATGAAAATAACGTGACTACTTTATGTAACAAAGAGTTACTATGGTTTTTATTTCACGGAAAATACCGTAACCATAGCAACAATATCATAGCGTTTTAGTACCAATTAGCGTACTAATTCTTTAAAGGCAGGCATCGCAAGCTCTCTGACATTGAGAGTGTCCATGGGCACTAATATCAGGTGCGACACCTGCCCGTTTGCACCCTGTTCTATAAAAATAAATGTCTCATGTGGGCTAAAATATTAAGTTTTAATGTTTGTGAATAAGAGGGTAGTTATTTGATATTTTAAGTGTAGGTACCCGCATTAGCTGTCATTAATAGCTAAACTTCGATATTGATAACGGTATTTTCAATTCGCGTGGTACAAAATATAAAAAGCTATGTTTAAAGAGCCCTTGGCCTAGTGGTATCAGCGCGCGATTCTTATCCCTGAGGTCTTACGCCTATGGACCTATGGACTTTCCATGTGCGCATTTAACATTCGCTCGTACGATGAAGGAAAACGTTAGGTAACCGACATGCCTTAGACGGCGTAGAGGCCACAAAAGATCACCTATCAGAAAAAAAACAAAAGAACACTAAACAGGTACAGACATCTGAGGCCCAGACCTTTTAAGGACGTATCGACAATTTTATCGTCAAAGACTAGATGATATAAAAATCAATCATGCTGTTGCAATGAATATTCCAAATATATACGTAATAACATGAACAAAGACAACTTTTTCCTCTACCCAAACTAGCCAATCCATCGTGAGCTGCTTTGCATTCCAAGTACGAAATGTGACGTCACAGCCGCAGACAGGAAGTCTAGTGCGCTGATCCTTTTAGGCTAAACGGATATTTGGCTGATGGGATTGTCTGTCTGCCTGATTATGCCAGCTGCAATTTGAAAATCAGATTTATCTCTCTCATTTTATTAGTCAACGTAGTTCTTTACTTGAAATGTCTCAGTTTTCACAAGATATTTGTCAAATTCACGAATAGCTTTTTTCTCTTCGTACTCATTTAAATAAATTATCGTTCAATAAGTACATTTCTCTCAGCTTAAGAAGAATATTGTGATTTAAAACTTTTAGAGTGGGTTATGTGCGATATAGGGTCCAACGCATATATATGCAATGCTTAGATATTTACTGTTTGAAAATAAACTTGAGGAACATAAAACGTATCACCTCGACGTCCGTCGTTCCACAACTGAGCGTTTCTTAAGGCGGTGTTAACCGCGCACTACCACTATGTCGAACCTGCCCTCTGAAGTATTTACGAACCAATTCGACTAAGGGTTCTTCAAGAAAGCAGCGTACCAATTCTTGAGGCATTGAGAGTGTCCATATCACTTAACATCCGAGCCCGTATGCGTCCTGTTATATAAACAAATGAGTATTAATACACAACTTTATAAATTCTTTAAGTCTAAGATACTTTGATTGTTCTTCTATCATTATTCATTTTTTATAAAACTTGCATATGTGAACCGATTAATTCAAAAACCTTCAAGCGTCTCTAAGGAAAAAGATCAAGGCTTCGAAGGATCAAGAGTATCGGAACTATAAGCCTCTCGATACGAACAATCAAGGACTTAATAGATCAAGACCTCTATTTTAAAACTTTTATCTTTGTGAATAATGTGCGAAAATTTATGCTCAACGCGCTTTTGCGTATAATAAGTTTCATGGTCACGTGACAAAGCCATTCCCATACAAAATTCGTGTGGCGTTAGTGTGTCGCTCCTGTCAAAAGACTCCTGTATATAGGACTTAAGACGTCATTGTAAAACAAAGTACTCTGACATATTTTTATCAACGTTATATATCAAACATAGGTTCCTACTGTCGCACTTTGTATCACCTTAACATTTAAACCAATAAATATAATATTATTGTCGAAGCTTCGGTGGAAATGGAGAATTGTGACCAATTTGTGTTATATAATCATAATTAGTCTAAATCTATAAAATAAATGAGTGGCGCTACAACCTTTTTGTTTCTTTTGGTTTATAATTTGTCAATCTAATAGAGATTGATATCATTTGTATATATATAGATATAGTAGGTGACACACGCCGTCGACTTTTTGGGTTTAAGGCAGGTTTCCTTACGATGTTCTCATTTACATAGATAGAAAGTCCATTGGTGCACACCCGGGGATGGAACTGACGACTCGGGGATAAGAGTCACACGTTGAAGCCACTATGCCAACACTTTTTTTTGTGTAAATTTAATAATATTTAAGAAAATGTTATAGAGATTTGTACGTTTTTGACAAATAAACTTAATAAATAGTAAACTGATTATAAAAATTCTCTTACCATTAAAACGCTACTTTATATCCGAGTAACGTAATATATAATTCGAAAATATTAAAAATATATGTCTAGTCGTGCAAAGCCGGGACACGCAGCTAGTTAAATAACTGGTGTATGTTTTAGGATAGTGTTGATTTATGAGTGTGGTAATTCAAATCTGTCATCTGTCAAAATCCTCAATGTTTGAGGAGCCTTCCCCACACACACATGTTGTTGACATTATTATTTTTTATTACTGATATTTAAGGGCTATCAGCGAATGCAATGACGTCACAGGTTATAGGTTAGGTGACGTAAGTGTGGCTAAAAATATGTTTTATTTACGTTGTATGTTGACATTGACTTGAACTTGTGTCCAAATCAGACAGGTTTATATTCAGACATTACATATAGTATGTACATAACGCATATATAAATACATAATCCCTAATGATGTATGAATGTGACACGATTTATACTTGACTTCAAAACAATGATTCAATTCTGTTCATCAGTTTTTGAGATTTCGGTATCACATTTCTGGAACGGAAAGAAGTCTTGTTAAATGTTGACAGGTATTTTAAGTTATTTATCTTTACTAACTTTCAAATGTCAACCGAAGTGATAAAGAATACGTACGCAGGATAGCTGCTGTACTCTATAAATCAATACCAGTTTTAATGACTGGCGAAAAAACGTAATTTCCTTCAATATTCGGTGATATTGCAAACTTGAAATTACGTGGTGCGGAAACTCTAGTTACGGTGTTTCTTAATTTTTTTTATAGAACATGGGGGCACACGCCCATAGACACTTACATTGCAAGAGGGCTCGCAAGTGCGTGGCCTTTTAGAATTGGTATGTTCTTTTCCTGAAGGACCCTAAGTCAAATTGGCTCGGAAATACTTCATTGGGCAGGTTCCACATAGCGGTGGTGCGCGGACAAAATTTCCTTATAAACGATCAGTTGTGGAACAACGTCGCGTGGAGGTGATAACGGTGGATTATCGTATTCGGTCTCGAGGTCCGATGATGAAGTGTTAGCTTACCAATACAATCTAAATCAGGCCTGAACTATACCTACACATTAGTATCGTTGTAAAAAGACAAAAACAATAATCATAAATAACCTAAACTCGTGGAGTTTGAGTTTATATTTAATTGAAAGAAACGAGAAATGATTTAGCCAAGGTTAAATAATGAGGAAATAATAAACGCATCAAATGTGTTGTAAAGTGGGCATTATAAAAGATGTAAGGGGTAGCTATTGTTCGACGGGGAAATTGTGTTATCACAACGTCCTTCATTACGAGAGTGTATTGTTAAAATGTACCTGTTATAACGAGGGGAACATCGGCTTTCTTGATATTCCGAAAACAAATAAAACTTCTATTCTCCCTAGAATGCTTAAGAATAGTTACAGAATTAAAAAGACTAAAGAGCAAACTTGTTACTGGTGCTAAGAAAATTCAATATATCACAGTAGTAATGCGACAATTACTAAAAAGTTAAGTAACGAAGCTACTTGAACGCTATCTTTATATTGTATGTGTATTGTTTATTAATATTTTTAATTAATAAACCTTTTGTATTAAATTGAAATTTTAGGAATGCTAAATTGTATTTATTTATTTATTTATTAACACTTAATTACATGTACAGTAGTCTAATATAATTCACATAATTAAATAAAAAAGAATAACTGGCCGCCTTATATAAATTTATATTTTATTACATTGTGTATGTGAAACTCAATGCCACCGAATGACATTAAGACATTGTAAGCAATCGTCATCCAAGCTAATAAGGATATACCTACATATTGATTTCTCAGATAGAACGCATTTTATAATTTCCTCCTTTATTACAAAAATCCCGGACTCTGCAGCACGTGTACAACAGGAGCAGTGTTGGCTTAATGCCTAGAGCGTGCGACTCTCATCCCTGAGGTCCTAGGTTCGAGGTTTTCATTGTATGTGCGTACCAACACTAGCTTGTACGGTTAACGACCTATCTGGTCGCCAAACTCCAAAAAAGTACATTGTTTCTTTCCATTTTTCGTCATCAATGTATCCATTTTGAAAGATCTATACACGATTTAAATAACTTCGCTCGATAGAAAAAAATCCAAACAGCCAATTTTTGACGCTTCGAATTCATTTTATGACGAAAATGTATATAGAACATGATTTTGAAATTTACACGATATATTTTAACGCAAGCCAAGTAATCCATTTCATAAAAAATATTATAAAATTACATGAATTTTATGTTTTACATAACTAATTGTTATTACGGGCCGGCGCGCCTCAGTGCTCCAGCTCTCCACTGCGTACCGCAGTCCACCCCGAGACACTGACCCAGCAATTCATGCTGGGATAGGGCCTTAAGGTAAACATCGTGAGAAAACCGGTGTTCCTTAGTCGTGGTCAGACACAGACGGCTGATCAATTACTTGTCTATTAAAAAAATGATATATGTACTCTGGTTTTCAGAACAAACATGTTGACTTATACCGAACAAACTAAAATGACCCTCTCTAATCCAATTCCAGACATTGTGAAAACAATGTCGACTGATACGCCCTTTGGGTTTGACATGATCCAAAAAGATTCACAAATATTCTGACGTGATGTTAGACACCGTCTAGTTGTTTTAGGGAATGAATTCCTGTATAATACACAATTAATAACTTAAAAAAAGGGGGATATCAAGATCCTTATGTCATATTTATAACGCATAAAATTCTACTAAAAATATACTTTCAGTTAAATAAGTTTTAAATTTTAACAAGTCTGAGAAAAATCTTTGTAAAATTTTACAAGATTTTTCATTTATCCACTGCTTAAGCCTTTGTAAGTGCATCTTTCCAGCTTATCTTTTTCTGTTCTTTTGAAAGATTTTGTCTATTTGTTTTTAGTTGCGGCTTCTTTATTTCTGCTAAAATATTTAAAAGATTAGCCACCAACTTTTAAAGTATTTTTATTTTGTTTTCATAGTTAAAATAATTAATATTTCCTTTTCAGTCAATGAATCAGCATTTGAATTATTGTATTACTAAGAAACGCACCTAGAACGTCCGCGCTATAATGATGCGTAACCAAGTCGTACTCTTGATGCACTTTAAAACATATAAATGCTCTTAATATTTGAAAGAAGAAAGCAAAATATTATACACAGTAAAAAGAAAGTGCACCAGCTGGGACCACTGGGATTCCCTTGTCGTGGGCAGCCAGTCTCTTCCTTTTGACATAATAACCGTACTTGACAATAATTTCTACATAACACATTTTATAATTAAACTATTGTTGCATTATACGAATGTTTTCTATATCTGGACAGGTTGATAAGATGTTGTTTAAGATTTTTAATGAATGCATGTAATGTGAGTTTTGCAAATGAAAATTTTGTTTCTAAGATAGTGGTTAAAGGGGGCCTCGGAGGCTTTGGGCGAAGAAAGAGCGTTTTTGGGTTGCTTATATGTAGGTTTGCGTTTTTAATGATGTTATTACATTACTAACATAAGGCATTTCATTTTTATTTAAAATTTCTAACTTCAGTCCGTAGTATTGTTCAAAATTTAATTTAAATCAAATTAAAATACGTTTATTCAATTTAGATGCTTCTTAGAGCATGCTTATGAATGTCAACAACGTTTACAAAATTCACGAAAGAGCAAGACTACGCCATCTTAGTTTCCATACTTACCTAAACACGAGACTTAAAAATCCTTGTCGAAGTTCGTACTTACTACGGTCTAACCAATTTCAACAACTTAAATAGATTCTACCTTCATTTATTTTAATAAACAAAAAAATGAATAAACATCTAATGATAAACAACTTAATCAATTTCTTAATGACACTGGAAGGAACTTCCATTTAAGATACAGTATAAGCCTATTTTAAACGCTAGTGCTCATAGAATAATTATATATTATGTATATAAGAGAGTTAAACTCAAATGTGTTGCAAAAATATTTATTTTAAGAAACAACATTTAGTGTTTGCTATTTCAGTTGTACTTTTATCCTATTTCTTTTATAATCAATTAAAAATGTACTCATCACAAACACTTCATATTCAAATTAAAAATGACCATAGACAAACAAAACTAGTGTCTTTACCACAGACTAACAAACAAAACTAAATGAACATTTATAAAAACAAAATAGATAATGAATAATGTAATTTAAGAAATATAATTATTTCTTTACATGTATAAGGTTAACCGCAATGAATAATGTATCTCAATGATTCGTAGCATACATTGTAAACATACACATGAGATATATATATATGATATTTGACTCAAAAACATGTAATGTTTTTGAGTCAAATAAAGTAATTTTTATTATTATTTTATTTCTATTAACGCAGCACTAAATGTCGCTTCTATTGTTCGTCGCCTTGCATGCTCTAGTACACCGCTTTTGCGATAATGAGACCATAATTACGAGATTATGAACTATTATTACAACAAAGACCATTTCATAATTAAAAGAAACTGCAAGAAAACGACGTGATATCTGAGTAAGAAAGCCTAGGTACCTTACTACCCAGGTTATACTTGTCCTCTTTAGAAATTGTAATTATAAAATGTTTTATTTCATTTAATTTTTTTCGTAATTATAAATATACTCTTAAGCCCCTTTCCCACGAATTGCTGTGTCAGTATATCGGGGTGGACTGCGGTAAGTGGAGAGCTAGACCACTGAGGCGCGCCGGCCCGTAATAATTATTAGTTATGAAAAACATTAAATTAATGTAATTTTTTTTATCTGAAGTGTATTACTTGGCTTGCGATAAAATATATCGTGTTAATTTCCAAATCATGTTCTATGTCTTGCCATAGACCGAAAAAGTTGACGGCTTGTGTCAGGCACAGGAGGCTAATCACCTACTTGCCTATCAGACAAATGATCACGAAATGGATACAGAAATCTGAGGCCCAGACCTAAAAAGGTTGTAGCGCCACATTTTTATTTTTTATAATTATGAGACACGTGACTGGGGGAATCTTTATTACTTATTACAAAATATAAACGTTTAAATATTGTTACAGTATCCTTTTCGCTGACATCGTGGGCTTCACGGTGCTTGCGTCGCAGTGCAGTGCGCAGGAGTTGGTGCGACTGCTTAACGAACTTTTTGGTCGATTTGATCAACTTGCCAATGTAAGATTTTGATGTATTTATTTAATAATTAAAGGATTTATTAATAATCATGTTTCTTTAGATAGCATTAGCACAAGACACTTTTGCTAACTAGTGAACTGTGGAATCGACTCCTGGTGGCGTCTTCCCTGGGAGATACGAGTCCCTCAAAGGCTGACAACGCACCTTCTAAAGTGTCCATGGGCTGTGATGACTGCCTTATTTGGCCGTCCCATAGGCTCGTTTGCCCCCCTAGCCAATAACATTGAAAAATAGATGAAATTTGACCTAGAAGTAACCTTGCAGAAATGCTACATATATAATTGTATATTTTATGGCATAGAACATATAATAAAACATATGAATAATTTCTCCAGAGGTGTATAAGTGTCTATAAAGTTTTAACGTTGTTAACATTAATTGACTAACTTCCAGGACAATCACTGCCTTCGCATCAAGATCCTGGGTGACTGCTACTACTGCGTGTCCGGGTTGCCCGAACCTCGCTCTGACCATGCACGATGCACCGTCGAGATGGGCTTGGACATGATCGATGCTATCGCGTGAGTTGTAGTATAGCTTATATATGTCTCCAGAATATGTAAAGTAAAAGTTGATAAACGCGAACTCTCCTATTTTAAATAATAATTATATTGTGCTCCTTGCTACACCACTGCTGGGTATATGAAAAACCTATTCCTTAAAGAGCCGGGTGAAGAATCTGTGACGGGCTGGTCTACGAAGGCCAGGTTTCTCCTCTCAAGGCGGAAAAGTTAGGCAAAACTAAGCGACCGTAGTTGTATAGTATGGTCAGTGATATGCTTATTATATAGCTGCCAAAAATATCGTTAATTCATTGTGAATAGTGAACGACAAAGCTGAGAGGCATGGAAGAATATAATAAATGAATTACTACAAATAAAAGAACAAAAGCAATATTTGCTTTTGTAGGTAAAATAATATAGGAAAAAGAACCCTAATACTAACAATTCAACCCTTGTATCTTAAAAATGAACAAATCAGATATCTATATAATATCTTAATTAATAACAATAACAATAATTTCGTAATATTTTTAAGACCTGGGTATATAAATAAAGAATTCTAACAAATACAGATTTTGAGTTTTTATTCAAAATTCAAACTTTGGTAGCGACCTCTAAATGTCATTTAAAAATTTCAAAAAAGTACTAAGACACTTTTATGGTATATTACAAAATTACGTGGTGCACCCCGTGTTTAAATTTAGGGAAGAAAAACGCAACGTTTATGACAATTCCCTGATGTTGTAATATTGACCATCAGCGATTCAAAATCCTACGCAAACGATGTCTAGCCAGCTCATTAAATAATCTCTAATTCCGCTGTAGCACGTCTCGCGGTGCAATTTTGTTGGTAAAAGTAGGGTTGAATCAATAATGAATTGATTTTGTACGTGACTTGAGCGATGCTCGCAGAGCTAGAATCTGAGTATGGATTGGAAACTTACGAATTCAATTTAAAAGCACTACGAGCTGTGCCCCGCGGAATGACATATGTATGACATATCCAATATCTTTATTGAAACAGGGACGTAATGACACTTAGGATCCTGGGGACCTTTTAAATAGTCGGAACAAAGCTCCAGCTGGGTTTCATTATCGGACGTCAAGGCAGAATGCGACGTCCATCGTTCCACAAGTGAGCGTTTTTAAGGCAGTTTTTGCCGCGCTATCTGGAACAGCTGCCTACTGCCTAGCGCCACTGATTTTTATATCGTTTTATTGCGTAATCACTAAATATGATATTTATATAACCTTCAGACATTATTATTCCTGGTAGGTTTATTGAGGACAGACTATGTGACTTATAAAATCCGTCGTGTGTTTTAAGCAAGTAGGTACTAATTTGCTTATGAGCTAAGTCTACCCTAATGTTGTGTTCATAATACCAAAATACCTTTCATATTACCACAATGTTCACTTATGGATGTTAAAGAAATAATTTCACCTTGCCAGTTCTTGAATCGAGGGCGACGAACGGAGAAGAACTGGCAAGAAAGTCTCCGCCACTCTTTGAAAGCTATACAGTATTTACAATATTCTTTACCTACATAGTAATAATAATATTTTAAAAAGTTTGGTCCCTGTGGCTTTTGTGCCTGTAATGCTGGCAGCATTTCCTCGCTGTATTGCGATGCTTATTCGTTTAAGAAAGCATTAGTTCTGGGGTTACTGGTACTATCTACCAGCCGCCATCTAAAAGTCTTAGCAACTTATATCATCACATAAGATCTTAAAGCAAATAATTAAAAATATCTATACATTTTTATAAGTTACAGTTGTCTAACAAGTACACAATAATAATATATTTATTATGAATAATGTCACTTAAAGTTTGATCACACAAAGCCAAAATATAATGTAAGATAATAGGACTATACTGGAGTTTATTAACAGTGGTTAAGTGTATTAAATAACATTGTTATTTAACACAATACTTCATCGAAAGCATTAACAACTTAACATATTTATCGAAGTGTACAGATTGCCCTTATTCTATAAATATTGCCGAGGGGTTTCTAGGTCAACTGGATCGAAGGCTTAGGGTCCATCTATCAGATACGTGTTAAGGTAACTAGTACAATACATTCTTATTATATAATAATACCTATATATACTTATACCTCTAAAATAATTTAAGCTTTTTCGCGTTGTAAAAGCGTCGACATATCTAATGACGTGGTTTATATGTCATAAGCTCAGTGCAATTATATCTTATGGCATATTTATACTCAGAGCAGTGTTGGCCTAGTGGCTTCAGCGTGCGACTGTCATCCCTGAGGTTGTACTCGATCCCCGGCTGTGCACCAATTGACTTTCTTCCTAAGTGCGCATATAACATTCGCTCGAATGGTGAAGAAAAACATCGTGAGGAAACTTGTCTTAGACCCAAAAAGTCAACGTGTCAGACACAGGAGGCTGATCACCTACTTGCCTATTAGATTGACAAATCATGAAACAGATACAGAAATCTTAGGCCCTGACCTAAAAAGGTTGTAGCCAATTAAGTTTTTATATTTATACTCATTCCTGTCGAGAAGTGGGCAGCGTATGTAAATAAGTAAGTTGCCACTGTTGCATTCAATACCAGAGTGAAGTGAGTGTGAACTCACTGGTGACGATATGCAAGAAGGATATAGGGCAATATTATTGTCAGAAGCAGGCAAGGGCTGAATGTAAATGTGGCAAATCACAGATAATAACATCACGTTTAATGACATCCGTGTCGTTTTACGAGCTCAGGCCTTAGTCGGAACTTTATCGTCCTGTAGTCGTATATATAGATGTTAGTTTTTTCAATTGGTACAGTTATAAACAATATTTTTGTAATATAACTCACTCACTGGCTCGCTCCAAAACGAGTGTTTCGAACTCCGAAACGAGGAAATTCCAGCGCTACCGTGTCATCAATCATCATCATCTGCAAATTGTTAGCTTTCAGCTGCAGCAGGTCCTACTCCACTCTGTCGATCCAGCGATACCAAGGCCAACTGGTAATATAAGCAAAGATAAACATTTCTAATTTGTATATAATTACGTTTTGCACGAGTTTCATATGATAATTATAAGTTAGTTAATTAGTTTAGTAATTAGAAGATTATTGAACGCTTGCGTGTATTATCCTAAAATTCAATTCATTATATTTAAAAGCTCCGTTATACTGTAATGTCTTTTAGGAAGACACAGGTGATAATTTTCTCAATAGGTTCAAGTATTTGCAGTAGACGAAAATATTTCGTTATTAGAGCGATTTTGTTATTCATCGTTATATATCTTGTGACGAACGTAGCTTTTGTTTAGTATGTTGATAATTGTATGTAGTGATGCGTTCTAACCCGAAATAATTATAAAACTGTTATTAGCTATATTTAAATTATATTAACCATGCACCAAGGGTGCCACCTTGGAGGACCACCAACCACTTGTTAAATGTTCTCGTTACAGCTATTATTGTAATATTAATGGAATTTTAAAAATAACTCAATTAAACTAAATAGAAGTCAATAAATAATTCAGTCAATAGTTTGAAGCATTCGATAAGCCTTGCCTTGGCTTTAAACAGAGTTGTTGCAGAAAGTTGAACTTAAGTTCAATAAATAGCAACCTCTTTCGAATCACAACTAACCTAACGATTCGTATTCCTTTTTATACAATAATATATAGAAAAAACTTTTTACCGGATTAAAGTTATGTATTATTATAAATTTACAATTTATTTAACATAATTTTAAATTTATCCGACGTTTCGCGTGCTTTACAGCGTGCGTGGTCACGGTGACTGAAGACAGAGGGCTCGCGAGTGCGTAGCCGGCCTTTTAAGAATTGGTACGCTCGTTTCTTGTAGGACCCTAAGTCGAATTGGTTCGAAAATACTTTAGTGGGCAGCTGGTTCCACAAAGTGGTGGTGCGCGGAAAAAACTGCCTTGAAAAACGCAAAAGTTACAATCAAAAGAACTCCCTTAAGGCGCAAAACATAGTCCTACATAGCCTTCCTGTAAAATGCGACTGTTCCGAAGATATTATTTTCCAAAAGATACAATCGTATTATTTTATATGCCCTTATAATCACATTATACGGGAGTCACAGCGAGATTGAGGTGATGTAGTCCTAGTAATGTACAAGGCCACCATACATACCAAAATTCACCAAAGATTGATGATAGTCAATTTCGCTATATCCCAGATTAAGTTAATATTAGAATAAAATTTCTCGACATTGACGTATTGACTTAGTTTGTATTTTGTTATAAATTCATAAAAATACTCAAAAAACGTTACTGAAATACAAGTTAATTCAGCCAATGCTTGACCTGGTCTGGTCTGGTCTGCTTGGCTTGATCGTTTATATGCTTGAATTGCATTGCGTCTGTAGTTCGATCACATTCGCACAAAGAATAAATTCATATATTTATAGCCCCCCATGGGCAGAGTCTGTTTGGTAGAAGTGTTGGTAGTGATAGTTTTTTAAACAAAAAAACAATGTCGAGAGCGCTTGATTTTCCAACATTATTTTTTACTTTTGGGCGATATAAGCAAATCAAATGTTGGTGTAACTGGCAGGCTACTCATGGCAGGACATATTTTTTTTAATAATTTTAGATATAAAATTAAATCTTTGTAATCTGTCCCGATCTAATTCGTCAGAAATACAATTTCTTCTTAATAAGGAAAAGAATGAATGAAAATAATAAATATCGCTATACAGCGAAGAAATGCTGCCAGCGTTAAAGGTACACTGCCACAGGGACCAAACTTTTTAAATTTGTTTTCATTTTCTCTTAATTATTTTTATTATTAAAGTAGGTAAAGAAAATTTTAAATGTTGTATATTTGATTGATACGATTACTAATAAACGTTAGTCCTTCTTTATAATATTATAGATTTACCATATCAAAGTAATATAAAAAAAGTATGTCGATTAATTTTCAAAAGATTACCTTGCTTTGAAGTCTAAGCCTAACAGCTTGGCCACAGTTTCTGGCGGTGTGGAGCGCGGCGCGGCCAGAGGGTCTGCGAGAGGCGCG